GAGCAGGGGGTGGAGGAGACGGGGAACCGACGGGAGGGGGGGAAGCTTACCTGGTTCTTCCTCCTCCACCTGTTGAGTTCCTCCCCCCCCCCCACCCCCGCCCCCGTGAGTTTCGCGGGTCTTTCTCTTGTTGTTTACCTAAATTCTTGCCAGTTCCACCCCAAAAACATTCTGTTGACTTACTTCCAAAGCTAGCTGGATCCTGCCACGGGCTTTCTTCATTTAAAAAAAGTGTATTTATTAAGTGGAAGCAAATAATCTTAATATAAGCACTACAGTATAAGCACATCATAAGCCTGCACTGTATAGAACCTGTTTTGGTAGCAGTTAAATTATTATGGCTTTCGCAATCCAGCAAACTATATGGAGAACGGAGAATTCTTTGGAAATTCTGAGTTGCTTTATGGAACTAAGGATGTCCAGGGTACTTTGGCAGGGATCACTGACAGTTAACAAAGACTGGATCTACTTCAGTCTGTAGTTTAAGACATATCCTAATGAAGGCAGTGAGCAGGTACTGAGAGAAGATTGGTTGGGTGGTGGGAGAAAGGAAATGGGAATGAAACAACATAAATCATGAACCTATATGAACAGGAAATTAGTGGAAGAAGAGTGGAATTAGAATGTGGTCAAGAGACTGGTAAGAGGAGAGCTCTGGAGAGAAGCTTTATGGTGCAAGGAAATAAGGAAGGATACGTGAGTTGAGGGAAAATGTTGCGTCCTTCACGATTCATTTCCTGGAAATATCAGGCCTAATGCCATTATGTGAACTTAATTTTTGTTAGAGGCTCTTAGGTTATTTGAAAGAGAATCCAGGGCCTCTTGAACTATTACAAGAGGATAAAGACTCTGAATATCACTCATTAGTGATTAGTACTACCTACCATAATGTCTCCAACTGCACTGCAGCTAATGATACAATAATGAAGCTAAAAGAACTTTCCAGAACAGAAAGAAAGAGTTCCAAAACATAAGATAAATGAGATTTATGGAGCACAGATGTTACTACAAGTTTCCTACACAGGGCCTGGGCAGTTTTTGGGTGGGTCCATCCTTCCTCCATTTGTCACGAACTCCAGAACCTCCTGGTTACTTTTGCTGGGATAGGGCATATATCCAAGAGAGAATATTTCCCACAGCAACACTCCAAATGACCTGGACATAGAAGAACAAGAAATAAGGTCAGGAATACAAAGAATGGAAATTGTGCAAGATTATTTAGAGTGGGGCCAATATGTCCAAAAGACCTTTGTGTTGTGTCACCTAATTTAGTTAGCTGCGTGTTACTTCTGATCAGGGCTTTTTTTGTAGAAAAAGCCCAGCAGGAACTCATTAGCATAATAGGCCACACCCAATAGCAGAAACTCCTTAACATATTAGGCCACACCCCTGACAGCACCATTTATTAGCATATTAGGCCGCACCCACATGTTACCAGAAGTGTGGTCATCCAGCCACACCAACCTTTTGCTTCTTATTCTGTTTACCTTGTTTGTTGTCAAAACCCAGAGCTTTTTTTGTAGCAGGAACTTCTTTGCATGTTAGGCCACACACCCCTAATGTAGCCAATCCTAATGCGTTTCTGCTGTTGGGTGTGGCCTTTATGCTAATGAGTTCCTGCTGGGCGTGGCCAACTCAGGAGCCAGCCAGAACTCCGTTCCTGTGCGTTCCTGCCCCAAAATAGCCCTGCTTCTGATATTACTTGTTGTGGCATCAAAGTCTGAAGTCATATGAGAGATGTCCATATTGGGGGCCCTTCCAACACCAGCATTGCTGCAGTTTTGGGAAAGGATGCACACATTCCTTCTGTCCAGGAAAAGACTTGAACCTTAAATAATTAATTATGCTTGGGGTTTTGTTTTTTTGGCTGCTTTGCTGTTATATTGATTTTTGTTGAGATTGGCTTGGCCATTTATTGGGAGTATTTTATCATTAAACAAAACTAGTTTGGAATGAGAATAACCGCCAATGTGACTTCCAGCCTCTGGCATTACTGAGTGACTCAAGAAGGAGCCAAAATCCAGGGTATCTCACACATCCAAAGGCAGTGTCATAAGGCGTTCCATATCTTTCAGGAGGAATAGGGTGGGGCATAGTATTCAAAATACTGGTCAGCCAGTTTCTTGTAAAACTGTTGAAAAGTACTGAGCAGACCTACCAGGTATCTGTTTTAGATGTGAATATCCCTTCCATGAAGGCTTCAGGTGGCATCCACTTGACTGGCAGCATTGCACATCCCCCTTTTCTATAGTAGCTGGCCCTGATGAGGAACAGAAGTAGACTGTGCAATACATGTGGATTCTAAAGGGACTTGGCACTTTCTGGATTAACATAAAATTCACGCAGAGAAGAATGCAAGCCACATTTCCCCTCTTCAACCTGCATATCACGGGGAGCGAAATCATAACAGCCAGATTGTGATCCGGGATTAAGAGGACAAACGAAGTGTACCCACATGAAGGAAGACAGGGAGTAAGGCACGTAGATCATGGGGGTGCAGGGTCCAACAAATAACACATCGTCCCTTTTTGCTTTAACCCAACACAGTGTAAAGCCTACAGTACTGTAACATTTCTGTCTGCACATTTTCTGTTACATTGTAAATTGACGTCATTGCAACCTGGGATGAATTTTACTCTGACACCACATAGATGGTACAGTTTCCCAGTGGTGATGCCTGGTGGGGTATGTATTAAACAACGGGTGAGGTATGTATTAAACATATTATCAGGGCCAAGCAGATTGACAACAATGTCCTGGGAATCCCTATGGCAGCAGTTCAAATACACCCAACTCATTTGATAGAGAATCCCATTTGTACCATCAACAACTGTGTTCTTGTGGCTAAGGTTCTTAAGCTCCTCAACTAACATCCACGTATGGAAAACTAAAATCCCAAATAAATGCCCTGTAACACTGATGTAAAATAATAAATAATAATAATAATAACTACTACTACTACATTCAGTGTCACAGGCTTAAGTAATTCTTCAGACTGACATTGGAGGGCACTGTAGGGACAGCAGTATTGCATTATGGATTAGAAGTAAGCAAAAAGTCTTGACAACATGCACCATCATTAAAACCTTCCTGGCATTTTTGCAAGTGCAGAATCATTAATCCGAGCATTCTGGCTAAATTCCAGGTTGGATAATTACATTCCTCTGACCCTTCCCCCCTCTTTGATATGCTGTAAACCGAAGAGATTTACTAATGACAGAAAGGCTGAAGGGGATGGGGTCAAAAACCAAAGAGGACAAAGCTGCAAGTCTGGATCTTGTGTAGCCATGATACAGAATTGTGACATTCAGAGTGGAACAAGTGAACAAAAGTGTATGTGGTGGAGGTGGGTTGAGGGCTGCATTAAAAACAACATGCGACAGGAGAATGTGTGAAAATGATGAAGGTGGGGGAATCTAAGGAGGTTGGGAAGAGAAAGAAAACATTAATACTCCAAGGTGGATTTGGAAATATCGCAGAGAAGTCATTCTTGCACCAATCCCCAAATATTTTTTTAAAAAACCCCACAAAGAAGCCAAGCCAAGCAAACAATCCCTGGCCAAGTAATAACCTTCCACCAGGTGATGCCTTTCTTACCTGTATATGTCCCGGGCCATCCCAAAATCTCCAATCTTCGCTATTCTCCCAGGTCCTTTACAAGTGAGAAGGCAATTTCGAGCAGCAATGTCTCTAAGGAAGAAAAAGAGGGAGACTCTGGATATTTCCATTTGTTTTTTCTCACAACTGTGAAACCTTCAGCTATGTTATGCCCTTGGAGGAGTAACTCATGAAAAACTAAGGAAAGAATTCATTGATCACTGAACTTTTTAATTTGCTTGTCTAAAAGGTTAAGACAGGAAGTTCAGCAGCAAAGGATTCAAATCATTCAAGAACTTTCCAAAAATTACTCCCATGAGTAAGTGACAAAAACTGGACAAAAGATTAGAGCTACATTTGTCCATACACTTACCTGAGAATATGTCCTGTTCTTGGGACATTTGTTGTTCATTTGACATACACAGAGCTGGGCTGCAAGGATGGAACTGGGTTCAAGTACTACCTTTGCCAATAACTGAGTGTCTGGCCTTGGGCAAGGCACTAGTTAGTTTCTAGATTTGTAAAATGTATATGATAGTGATCTGGCCCTATAGTTTGAGGTAAGGAGAAAGAAAACTGTTATGTATTGTGTTATATGGATGAGCCTGAGCTTCAGTCACAAGCTCCATAGAGTCTCAGTATCTGAAAATCAACAGCCTGATTGGCTGCTGTTATGCAATGGACCAATCAGGGAAGACTATGACTTTTAGCGGGAACAAAGCCTATTGGTCCTAAACACTCACATTATTGGACCTTACTGTTCTAGGGGTGTGGTTTAGCCAGTTCCAAACTGTATATAAGCTGGGGTAGTTCTATGTTGTGTTGTGTTCTGAAATCACTCATTAAAGAAAGAGCTGCCTGATCTCGAGTTACAACAGAAACAAAAACTGTAAAGAGCTGTTTCAAATTCAGAATATATTAAGGGAAAGGTTTATAAGTAGGTCTACTGGTTAGACAAAGATATGGTCATATGCAATAATAGACACAGAGATAGTAGCCAGCACAAGTGAAATGCACAGACTAGCTATAGGTTTCTGGATGCAATTTTACTTGTGTAAAGTGGTCAATTGTGCAATATATATGACTGAGATTTCAGCACTTGCTTTTACCACTAAGGAGAAGATAAAATTTCTTTTCCAAATCAAAGGCTGTTTCCCTCTATTGAATATGTTTTTCTTTATAATACCTCAATCCATTTTGAAGGTGGGCATTCACAAAGTCGGAATGGGAGGAAGAAGTCCATTCACAAATGCATACCTAAATCATTCCTTTAGTAAGTCTCTCCCATACAAGAGGCTTCTAATTAATTTGCTGAGCACACTGGCTGAAGTATGAGCTGTGAACAAATCACACACTTGCTGGTTCAACCTCAGTCATGCACCCACTGTAACCTCAGGCAAGCTGCTGTTTCTCATCCTCAGCCTCCCCCATGCCCTCAGCTGCCAGGGAAGCAGAACCCCAGACAGATTCCCTCTGGGGCGCCTTCAGGCCACCAGAGTCAACCTAGACTTCAGGCTAAACTACATGCTACGTTTTTGAATGACTTAGGTTGGCGCAACCCTGGCTTGCTACAGCCACATGGCAGCTATGGAAAACTTACTTCCCCAAGTGTCACAAGGCCTGAGTTGGATCAGCTGCTGAAGGAGGAAGGGCCCCATATTGTTTTCATGAGCGGAAATGGGAGGTCCTTTTTGCTGTGCTGCAAGGAATCCATGTGAAGTATTCTGTGCACAAGCAGCCACACAATGAGGCAAAAACCTCTCCCCTGTGGCCACTTCAGCTCAGGAAATTGTGGGGGAGGTGATAAAGCCCCCTCCTCCCCCAGGACCACAACCCCATGTAAAACACATAGAAGGAAAGGTACTTAAACGTGCTACCATAAATGTTCGATGCTCTGAGGGAACACTAAGGGCAGATAAATAATGAGGGGGTTCTCCCGTTGGAATAATTCCAAGCACTAATGGGAACAAACCTGTCTTCATCTACTCCAGGTTGAAATAAAATCAAACTAAGTTATTAGGTGTGTTAATCTTTTCTTGAGGTCTGAAAGAGATGAGGAGGCGATATCTTCAGGAGTGATTCCTAGTCTCGAAAACGTATCACCTAGTGTCCTGAACCAGTAGCTATAAGCTCAATCGTAGCTGAAGAGGTACCGAAGACCATCTGTTGGAGTGGCATACAGAATTTTCATTCTAAAATTTAAAGTGTGGAGCCACACTATTGCTTCACCTGATTTGATGCCTACCAGGGTGGCAATACATGAGGGGAAAATTAATAGAGATTATCCACTGACTCATTAACCACTGTGATCCAAATTGGGACACCGCAGAGAAGCTGGGCAAGGGCTCGAGCTGTAAAAACCCATAGTGCTGCTGGAAATTACTAAGCGGCCCCCCCATAACAAAGGCTATTGATTGCTTTTATATAACTTTTATATAAGCTTTTTGCCTGTGTCCAAGACTTTGGATTTAGAATAATTTACCTCTAAGGACTGGTGATCTCAATAAAGCAAAAATGGTTTTCATTACATTCCTAAGGCCAGCTCTACTTCTAGAAAGAAAAGGAGCATCATCTGGATATAACAAAATCAAAATGAGGTGCTTAGCTAAGATGGGAGGGCAAAACTAGTGTCCCTTAGGTGTGCTCAGCAGTTCCTTTAAATACAAATTTAAAAGTAAAGACAGCCTTGCTTAACACCCTTGATTGTCCTGATCTTCTCAGAGAGCCGTCCATCAAAAGTGCAACGTACCTGGGTGGAAGTGTTCATATAAAGAAGATGAATAAGCTATAAAAGGCGACAATCTATAGACGTTGTCTTCAGTTTTTCCCAAAGATACCTTCTAGGCACAGAGCAAAATGCTGCCTTTAGAACTCCTCTAGGGACTAAATATTTATAGGCTAGATGATCTAAGATACTGTGGCCTGGCCAGAAACCAATTTGCTCTGGACCAAGAATATTAGAATGCTGCATGCAGTCTTGCAATTTGCCCAAGCAAAAGGGAGGAGTAAATCTTCTCTAATACAGACAACAAAGTAATAGGACGATAATTTGCTGGGTAAACCTTAGAGTCAGTTTTATAATTTGGGACAATGATGCCTTCTTGTCATGATGTAGGAATGTGTTCTGTATTCTTAACATGAGTGAATAACATGACAAGTAAAGGCACCCACTCACCAATCCAAGTTATTTCTAGTTGCTTCTAATGGAGTACTGTCTGGGCCAGGAGCCTTATTAGGAGAAAACGTGTAGAAATCCTTCATGGGTAATTGTGTTTCAGGGGTATAGGCGCTGTTCCCATCGGCCAAAGGGTTACTATATACCTCAAAGAAGAAGGATTCTCAGACTCCAGGAGGTGTAATGTCAGAAAAATATTTTTTAAATCCATATGAGTTGTCCCGAGGGCAAGCCACCCCAAGGCTGGCTGCCGCCGCTCAGGACCAGTGATAGCGACGAGGGGTCGTCCAGCTCGTGTGACAGCGAGGTGGAGGATGTGGGCAGAGCCCCGCCCCTAAGGTACCTCCCACCGCACATCCCCGCCCCTGCGTGTTGGAGGTCTCGCCGGAGCAGCTCTACACCGGGGCCCTTGGGCAACAGCGCATGGATAGAGCAGGAGCCCTGGGTGCCGCACTGCTACAGGAGGGCAACCGGCACAGCCCACCACCATGGATCTCTCCCAGTTTGGACAGTGGCTCACAGAGCATCAGGCCCAGCTGGTGTAAGACTTGGCCCAGCAACAGCAGGCAACACAGGCATCCCTGTTCCATGACTTACAGCAAGCCCTGACCACCTGGGGCGGGGACAGAGGTAACAGCCCACCTGTGGGTCTTGGGTGTGGCCCTTGGGCAGCCTTGACGAAACTTGGCCCTGAGGATGACATAGAGGCCTTTTTGGAGGTGTTTGAGCGCTTGGCTTCGGCGGGAGGGCGGGGTAAAAATCAAATAATAAAATAAATAAATAAATAAATTGGCCGAATCGGCCCAATGCCCCAAAACACAGTGGGCCTTTGCTATTGGGCCCTACCTGTCGGGTGAAGCACAGGCAGCGATGTGGTCCCTGGAAAAGACTGAAGCAGCCAACTATAAGCTTAAAGCAACCATCCTTAACCGGTACGGGATGACCCTGGAGATGCACCAACAGAGGTTTCGTTCTGTGGCGATAGTTCCAGCAGGGCGCCCACGGGCCACCTTGGCCGCCCTTAAAGATGCGGCCACGTGCTGGTTGCAGCCTTCCTTGGATGATGGGAGGTGCATCGTAGAATTATTAGTGGTGGAACAGCTCCTCCAGATCTTCCCACCCAGGGCCTGACACTGGGTGGCTTGCTGGCGCCCAATGAAAATCCTTGAGGCCCAGGAGCTCTGGGAAAATTTCCAAGCAGCCGAAGGATGGGAGATATCGCTATGCCCGGAGCCTCCCCAACCAGGGAAGAGTACCATGCCGCAACCCAAGGCCCCAGCGGAGGACACCCGACCTCGTGGAGTTCCCAACTGGGGGCATGGTGGCTGTGCCAGAACCCCGGGAGCCCAAGCTCTACCAGGACCCAGTCCCCTGTGGCGTCCCCCTGCTCAGGTGCTGGCCAGCAAAGATCTGGGAGGGAGCCACCCCAGACACTCCAGGAATAGACTCCCCCAAAGGGGGTGCAGGGCCCTTGCTTCTCCTGTGGGCCGTGGGGCTACTACTGGTGAGACTGCCCCCTTATGGAGTGCAACTGGAGCAGTGTGACCACCATGCAAGCTGTGGGTGGCCGGTCTCGCACACTCGCATGGACTGCCCCCATGCGCCTTGGGGGCCGGCTCCTCATGGCCTTCCTGGATAGTGGTAGATCTGTCGATGATACGCCAGCGACTCCTACCCCAGCATTTCCCCATTCTCCGAACCACCGCCATATCACATTTCCATGGGCATGTAAAGTGGAGCCCGATAGTTATGGTACCGCTACGTTACCTAGGTCAGGTACACGAGGTGCCACTGGCAAAAGTAGAGAACCTTCCATATCCTATTCTGTTGGGAAGAGATGCCCCCTTCAATTTAGTGCAGCAAATCGGGGCCAGCACGGGTGAGTTGGCCGCAGCTGGAGGTGAGGAAGACGACGGCC